TCATCTGAAAAACAGATTTGATACATTAAACACTAAAGACCGAAGACCAGAAGAGTTGTGAGATGACATCAAGAACATCATACATGAAGAAAGCAAAAAATCATTAAGAAGACAAGAAAGAAGGAAAAGTTCAAAATGGATGACAAGAGATACTGAAACTTGCTCTGCAGCATAGAGATGTAGAGATGCTAAAGTAAATGGAAAAAATGAGGAGGCACAAGAGCTGAACAGAAAATTTCAAAGATCAACTCGAGAAGATAAAGCCAAATATTACAACAAAATGTGCAAAGATCTAGAATCAGAAAACCAAAAAGGAAGAACATGCTCAGCATTTCACAAGCTGGAGGAACTAAAGAAAAATTCAAGCCTTGACTTTTGTTATTGAAAGATTCTCTGGGCAAATTATTGAATGATGCAGAAAGCATCAAAAGAAGATGGAAGGAATACAAAGAGTCACTGTACCAAAAGGAAATGATTAATGTTCAACCATTTCAAGAGGTAGCACATGATCAAGAGTCAATGATACTGAAGGAGGAAGTCCAAGCTGCATTGAAGGAACTGGCAAAGAACAAGGCACCAAGAATTGATGGAATAAAAATGAAATCTTTCAAGAAAGTGAGGCAGCACAGGAGGCACTTACTCATCTCTGCCAAGAAATTTGGAAGACGACTATCTGCCGACTGATTGGAAGAGATCCATATTTGTGCCCATTCCAAGGAGAGGTGACCCAATGGAATGCAGAAATAATTGGATAATCTCTTTGATATCCCATGCGAGTAAAGTTTTACTCAAGGTAACCCAGAAACCGCTGCAAGCATACACTGACAGAGAACTTCTAGAGGTTCAAGCCAGATTCAGAAGAGGCCGTGGAATGTGGGATATCATTGCTGATGTATGATGGATCTTGGCTGAAAGCAGAGAATATCAGAAAGATGTTTACATGTGCTTTACTGACTACGCAAAGGCTTTTGATTATGTGGATCATGACAAACTATGGACAACATTGCCAAGTGTTAGTATTCCTGAAGACTTAATTGTGTTCATGAGGAATCTGTACCTGGACCAAGAGGTAGTTGTTTGAACAGAACAACTGAATGGTTTAAAATTAAGAAAGGTGTGCGACAAGGTTGTATTCTTTCACCATACTTACTCAACCTGTATGCTGAGCAAATAATGCGAGAAGCTGGGTTCTATGAAGAAAAACATGGCATCAGGATTGGAGGAAGACTCATTAACAACCTGCTATATGCAGATGTTACAACCTTGCTTGCTGAAAGTAAAGAGGACTTAAAACATTTACTGATGTACATCAAAGAGCACAGGCTTCGATATGGATTACATCTCAATGTCAAGAAAACAAAAATCCTCACCACTGGACCAATAAACAACATTCTTATCAATGGAGAAAAGATAAGTTGTCAAGGACTTCATTCTTCTTGGATCAACTATCAACACTCACAGAAGCAGCAGTGAAGAAATCAAACAATGTATTGTATTAGGCAAATATGCTGCACAAAATCTTTTAAAAATGTTTAAGAGCAAAGATGTCAGCTTGAGGACTAAGGTGCTCCTGACCCAAGCCATGATATTTTCAATAACCTCATATGCATGTGAAAGCTGGACAGTGAATAAGGAAGACCGTAGAAGAATTGATGCTTTTGAGTTATGGTGTTGAAGGAGAATACTAAAAGTGCCATGGGCTGCCAAAAGAACCAATAGATCCGTTTTGGAAGTAGTGCAGCCAGAGTGCTCCTTGGAGGCCAAGATGGCCAAACTTCGTCTCTCATACTTTGGACATATTGTCAGGAGGGACCAGTCACTGGAGAAGGATATGATGTTTGGTAAGGTGGAGGGTCAGAGGAAAAGAGGAAGACCTACAGTGAGATGGATTGGCCAAGTGGCAGCATCGATGGACTCAAGCATGGCAACAGTAGTGAGCTTGCCCCAGGATCGGATAGTGTTTCATTCTGCTGTGCATAAGGTCGATATGAGTCGGTACCAACTCGATGGGCACCTAACAACAACAACAACAACAAGTGTTCACCAGACACTAATTCCAGGTCCCCTTATCCAAGGTCTTGACACCTACCATCTCCTCCTTAGTGCTCTGCCAGGGACCGTGCCCGGGTTCCTACTTCAAGTGGTACTACCAGCAACCTTCTCCTTTCTTGTCTTGAGGATTCTGTCTCCTGAGAGAAATACACACGTACACACAATGTTGTTGTTACTGTTGTTAAGTGCCACTGAGTCGGTTCCAACTCATAGCAACCCTATTTCGGGTTTCCAAGGAGCAGTTGGTGGGTTTGAATTGCCAATCTTGAGGTTAGTAGTCTAGCGCTTATCCTATAGCACCACACCAGGTCCACACATATACACACCCATTTCAATGAGCTTAGATTTCCTCAAAAGACTTGAAGAAAAACTGATTCCCAGCATTGATCCTTATGACTGAACAGGAATAGGGACGGTCTCCAGTGGCAGCCACAATGGGTAGAAGATCAAGAATTCTGTCTCAGATTCTCAGACTGCAAATACCTCAGAATTTTAAGGAGCCCTGAGAGCAATTGAGTCTCAACTTTCCAACAGCCTTAGCAGTTAAAGGCTGACTAGATTAAATTACATTAATTTATTCTTCTAGAAAAGTAATGGGATGTTTTCTGTACTCAAGTGGTTCAACAAGTCATCCTATTAAAATGTATTACTTGAAGTTTATTTGTAATAACTCTGCAAGGTAAGCAATATTATTCCCATTTCTCAGGTGAGGAAAGTAAGGCCTGGTGGTTGGTGATTATATGCTGGAGAGTTGGTTCCAACTCATAGCAACCCTGAGTAGGGTTTCCAAGGCTATAAATCTTTATGGGAGCAGAAAGTCTCATCTTTTTCCATGGAATGGCTGGTAGTTTCAAACTACTGACCTTGAGGTTAGCAGCCTAACTTGTAAGCACTACGTTAGAGAAGTAAAATAACTTGCCCGGGTAGTAGGAATCCAGGTTGTGAACAAGAGCAGATCTGAGCCCAGAGCCCACAGTCTAATTGATTCCCTTCCATCAGTAGTGGAAGGGGCTGGGATGCTTTTAGCCAGGCTGCCCATCAGCTTCTTGCTCACTCTTGCCTTCCTGAACTTCCTGGTAGCTCTGGACAAGCTCTGTTAACAAATTAATCATGCTGGTGGGGACCCATTTCTGATATATTTGAATGCATTGATTATTTATTCTGACATATGTTGCTAGTTTGATAGCATTTCCCCACTGGTTCTGGCTCTACACTATTCCCTCACACTGAATGCGCATTACTCCCCTGTTCATCAGTTACTGTTTTCTCTAAGAATTCCAGGGTCGTTGTCCTACAAAGGGACCCTGAGACCGAATCTTCCCTGGTGACAAGATCTGAGACAAGCATCACAACATGTTTTTAAAATTCAGGCCTTTACTTTTCCTGTGTAAATATGAATGTAGGCATAGTTCATAGTTTAAGGCTTTAAAAATATATGAACTTTGAGCAGACACTGCTAGTTGCATTTTGTGAATAATATGAGTTTGGAACACACCTTCCTTTTTTAAACCTTTGAGCTTCCTTTTTAAAAACAAGTTAAAAATAGTCAAGTGATTCATGATAGAGACCAGAAGAGGCCCATCTAAGTCCAGAATACATACTCGAAAATACAGCACCTTTTGTATGAACTACACCAGGGCCCAATTATAGAGCATATGCATCATAACAACAGACTACAAAGATTCCAAAGTTGTCAAAACAAAATGGGGTATTTTGTTTGGTAGAAAGAAGAAAGAAAAGGAGGAGGAGGAGTTATAAAGGGGTGAGTGGTAGTGAAGGGAGGGAGGGAAGAGGGTAGAAGAGAGGAGGAAGAAAAGAAAGACATACCTGTATACATGATTTCTTTGCACCAGGCCACTCACTTTTTGTGTAATTGCAATGCATGTATGAGTGAAAGATTGAATCCAAATATGTAAGTGTTTAAAAACGGTAATAGAATCCTGTTGACTAGATTAGAAAAGAAAAGCTAGTTTCTGCAGTTGGCAAGCTTTCAACTGGCTAAGAGCTGTGCTTCAGGATGTAGATCCAAGAGATTACCTTTGTAGTTAATAAAGGGGCAATTTGCAAAGATATGGTTTGAGGATCTCATCTTCTAAAAGTCCCTGTTGCTAGCTTTCTTTGGCCTAGGATACAATTCCAATCTCCAACCCAAAGGACTCTTATTCTGGAACCAGAATAGGTTAGCTCAGTGCCCCAACACAAGGACAGAGGATATGATATAGGCTGTCTTTGAATCCCTTTGACAAGTAAGTTGGAAGAAATGCCTTTATGGAACAGATCAGTTTCATAGGGGCTAAATGTCTGGGGATCTAATTTGCTTTAAGGACTCTGAGATGGGGTGGCTTTTCTTCATCCCAGAATTTCTGCTTGCTATAGCAGTACCAAAAGTCAGGGTTTCTAGGGCACCAAGAAGATCCCGGATTCAGAAATCCGCTCCAAACCCAGCTTGTATAAGATTGAAGTTGAGTTACTATGTTGTACTGTGTTTTATATGTCCATTGCAGAAGTTGTGGGCAAGGTGAGGGGAGATGGGGAGGACTATATAATTTTCCATTGGCAAGAATATATTACTTTGCAGAAGTTAAAAAGTCTAAAAACTCCTCATGGGTTCCATTAAACAAACAAACAAACAAAACAAGTTCTGTGTGCCCACATTCAAACACTTGGAACATGTTCACACACATACTTCACAATTTAGGAAGCCTGCCTTGTGCGGTTTCACATGGACCTCACAATAATGTGGCACTTAACCGGGGCCAACATAATGTGTCCCTTTCTTCTAGATGAGAAAAGTGAGCACTCTCTTGAGGCCACACTGCTTGCAAAGTGTAATTAGAGCTGGAATGAAACCCTGGACAAGTCCAGCACTGTGCAACTGTGACCACGTAGTACACACACTGACAGCTGACTAGCTGTGTGAAGCAGGATACAGACAGATGCCTGTGCGCTCACTGCTGTTTGTCCTCTGTTTTTGTAGCTTCCCTGGGATCCTCTTCATCAGACAGGAAACTGCTCCCATAGGTCTTCACCTGGCTCTCCAGCTGGCTGAGACGCTGCTTCACCTTCATCTGAGTGGCACTGTATTCAGCCAGGAGCCGTGCAAACCTGGTCTGCAGGGTGTCCAGGGAGGACTCCAGGTATTCCACCTTTTCCTCAATGTCCTTGGGGTCCACCACAGCGTTGGCCAGGTCCTCATCGATCAAATTGTCCTTCATTAAGATTTGCCGTCCCTTCTCCTCCAGGGCCTTCTTGGCTTCAGGGTATTCGGTCAGGGCCTCCATGAGATCGTCCTTTGAGAGGCAGAACAGGTCTGAGTAACCGATGCTCCTGATGTTGGCTGTCCTGCGGTTCCCTGACTTGCTCCCCTTGATGTTTAAGATGCTGATCTCCCCAAAGTAACTCCCATCACTTAGGACCACAAATTGGGTGACCCCATCGTCAGCCACCACAGCCAGCTTGCCCTCCTTGATGATGTACATCTCTCTTCCGATGTCCCCTTTCTTGCAGATGTAATCCCCTGGGCTGAACACAGCAGGCCGCAGCTTCAGCACCAGCTCTATCAGCAACCCCGCCTCGCAGTCCTGGAAGATGCGAACCTTCTTCAGAGTGTCCAGGTGCACGTTGATGGCAATCTCAGCCTTCAGCTTGTCTGGGAGATTCTTGAGTACCTCCTTCTCATCTACTGTCTTCCTGTTGGCCCATAGGTAGTCGAACCATCGGATAACCCGTGTCTCTAAGTCCTTGGTTACCTTTCGGAACTGCATATACTGCTTGATAGAGTCAATCTTGGCCTGGAATTCTGTACGGGAAGCATTCATGTTAGAGATCATGGCACCCACGTTGCCCACAATGGTGGCAAAAATCAGGACGCCCACTAGGAAGTCTATGACCACAAAGAGATACTCCTCATCTTTGACTGGGGCTGGCGTCTCACCAATGGTGGTCAGGGTCAAGGTAGACCAGTAGAGGCTGTAAATGTACTTCCGGGAGAGGCGCCCATATTCTGGGTTTGAGATGTTTGGGTAGACCCAGGAGTCTGTCCCGAAACCAATAAACTTGGAAATGGCAAAGTAGATACAGGCATTCCAGTGGATGATGATAAGGATGTATAAGACCAAGTTCCCGATCCTGAACACATTGGGGTAGTTGGTCCTTGTCTCGGTGCGGTCAAAGAATTCAAAGAGCCGGGGAAACTTCAACAGGCGGTTGAACCGCAGTTCTGGGTAGTTCATACCCAGCTTTAAATAAGCCAGGTCTACGGGGGCCAGAGCCAACACGTCCAGCTTGAAGTGAATGGTCTTCATGTAATGCTTCCAAAGCCTGTCAGCATCTTTGACCATTAAACCTTGCTCAAGGAAGCCTAAAGAAGAAGAAGATCACGTAGACATCAATGAGGTGGCCTTTTGTTGACCATGACCCAGAGAAGATATTTTACATTATGATTACATAAGATGCAGTTGTATGTATAGAATAGAAGCTATTTCATATAACAACATTTTATTGTTTATTTAAAAAAACAACCTATTGCTATCAAATTGATTCTGACTCATAAGTGGCCCTACAAGAAAGAAATTGTCCCATAGGGTTTCTAAGGCAGCAGTCTTTCCGAAACAGTATGTTGGTAGTGTAGTGGATAATAAGCAGGGCTGCTTATTATTACTGCAAGGCCAGTAGTTCGAATCTACTAGTTGCTCCATGGGAGAAAGAGGAGGCTTTCTGTTCCCGTCAAGATTTACAGCCACGGAAACTCTACACAGGGTCACTAATTAGCAGCAGAGGAACCGACTTGGTGGCACACTGCCGCTCCACCATTACCAATCTTTCTGGAAGCTAACTTGTCCATCTTACCCCTACAGAGTTGCTAGTGGGTTTGAGCCACCAACATTTAGGTTAGCAGCCTAGTGCTTACCCACTGTATTCCCAGGCTCCACATTTATTGTTAGCACATGAAATACATTCTGATGTATCCTATCTTATGTGATTCTAACTCATTCAATTCTAATTATTTTAAAATGTAGTTCAGTTGGGAAAAGTTTAACATGATTAGGTATTAGAAGATAACAAGAAATGACTACTAAGTTTTAAAAAAGATGGAAGTTATGTAAAAAAAAATAAATCCTTTAAAGTGAGAGATACATGCTGAAGTAGTTACTGTTTGTGACTTTAAAATATTCCAGCAGCAAAAGAAGGGGTTGAGGAGAGAGGGGTTGATGATCAAAATGTTTGGAGGGACACTTGGGGGTCCATAATCATGTTCTCTTTGCTTTTGTGTATGCTTAAAAACATTAGTAATTAAACAATGTTTAAAGGCAGATCACGACCTACCAAATTCATTTCACTGATTCTGAAAGGAGCACAAGAATTGCCCAGAAGTTTTCATTAGAGCAACTTGTCCATTAGAATCACCCATTGTCACTGTTGCTGTCTCAACTTTGACTCATGGCAATCTCATGTAACTAAGTAGAACTGCCCCAGAGGGTTTTCCAGGCAGTCATCTTCATGGGAGCAAAGTGGCTGGATGAGTTCAATGTGCCAACTTTTTGATTAGCATCCAGGCACTTAACCACTGCATCACCCAGTTGAAGCCTGGGACCCATCCTAAGAGGAACAGACTGGGACATTAGACATGTGAAGCACTGATTGGTGAAATCAAATAAGTAGGCCATAATCCCTGCCCCTTTTTCTACATCTGCAAACAAATATAAAAAATTAGAGAGATTTAGTATCCAATCTGTCTAGGTGGAGCTGATGAAATGAAATGCAGACGGGTCGCTTGTGTGACTAATTGTTATCAGGACTGATTGTGAGGGTTGGAAATGTAAAGGTAGACGTTTTATAGCAAGGTAGGGAGTGACTAACTTTCCTGTCTAGGAGCAGAGGTCCCTAGGACCATCAACAGAGAAGAGCCAAGAGCAGGACCCTACCCAGAGAAGCAGTGATGCCTGAGATGGAGGCAGAGAAGATGACGTGGAGCGATGGAGCAGCTGGGGGCTTTAGATCCAGAGAGGGAGAGCGACTGTGTGCTGAAGACCGGGGGAGGTGGGGGGGGGTAGTGTTGGGGGCAGGCTTGCAGGGTATATATACCCTTTGGTTGGTTGATGATGCATGGAGGGGATTGTAACCATGGCAATGAAACAATATATGCTAGAATGAATGTCTAATGTTCTCCAATGTAAACTATCATATAATTCACAATAAAACATAAAATAAAAAAAAAAAATGAAACCACACACACAAACAAAAAATTAGAGAGACTATCATGAATGCTTTTAAATTCTGGTGAGCCTAAGGGCTCAGTGAAACATAGATCACTGGGCCTCACCCCAGACTTTCAATCTGTGGTTGTTGTTGTTAAGTGCCATGGAGTCAGTTCCAACTCATGGCAACCCTGTATAGGGTTTCTAGGGAGCGGGTGGTGGGTTTGAACTGTGGACCTTGGGGTTAGCAGTCCAGTGCTGATCCTACAGCACCACACCCGTGAGTACGTCTCATTATTTCTAACTAGTTCCCAGGAGCTGCTGCTGCTGCAGCTAGTGGTTCCCTTTGAGAATGGAATTGTCCCCTCCATGAAAAACAAGAATCATGTTTACTGTCATATATGAGGGACAGCCTGCTTCCCAGCCCCTCATTCCTCAGACCATTTGTTTGCTCTACATGTGTCTGTATTTACTGAGTCATTTTGTCTTGGGACTCGATGCCACTTTCAATTCTAAGGATTGTTTTCCTTGGGGCATGATCTATGGCTAGTTTCTATCCCTCACCCTATTCTCCCCACCCCACCTTCACCACTGCTGAGCCCCTGCTTTCTGCTGGATCTTAGGTGGGGTTAACATCTGAGTCAGGGCAACCTGTTCTGCTACCGTTGGAGACAGGGCCAGTTGGGCCCACTAGTCACACCGATGGTGCTCTGGACCTATGCTGACTTGTAGGATCAGGGAGTAGTGGACAAGGCAACAGTGTGGAAGACAATGGGGCTCTAGTTTGGCTGTGCTGCTCACTGACTGTGAATGTGGGACAAGTCATGGAGTGTCTCTGGCCTTGTTTTATTTTAATCAATGAAACAGAGATCTCCATACCTGCATTTCTTGTCTCATTTGTTGTCTCAGTTATGATAAGAAACCAAGCTGCACTTGAAAATGTTTCTACACCATGAAACCTATGGTGCAGTGAATTATTTAATATGTCTCTTCTAATCTTAGTCTGTGTAACTTCCATAACTCCCGTCAAATGACTTTTTCTGATAGGTCTGGGCAATGGAAGGTGGGAGGAGATTCTGATAGGCTGATATGATTCAGCTGTGGATCATAACAGAATACATTATAATGGTGAAAACTTGAAACTCTAGTGTGAGTATGAAATGAGCCATCTCAGAAGCAGGTGTGTGGGCTCTCACACTCAGCGGAGAAAAACCAGAGGTGTAATATGTCCTTTAGACCCTAAGATCCCTGTGAATTGAACTCCTTTGACTCAGGGGCAGAAAACTGTGACAGTGGAGGAGTGGCCAAGGAGAAGCAGTGAAGCCTGAGTACAACACGGAGCGGTACAAAACTCCAGCCCATGGAGCAAGTACAGCTGAGTGGCTCTGAGCAGGAGGCTTGCTTACAGAGTGGGCTGCCTTCAGGCACATAACTGCGAGAGCTAGATTTGCTGACCCACAGACCTAGAGCCAAGTGTCTTCAGGCTGAGGCTTACTATAGAGTTGGTGGGTCCTGTAAGCATTTATCAGCAGCCCTAAAAGAGCTCTGTAACATTGGCAAGGCAGAGGGAAGCCTGCCTGTGGGCATGGCTGAGGAGAGACTATTCTGACTAACACAATTAAGCCCTGAGCATTTATGACCCTGAATTGTAACCTGTTAACTTCTCCTGGTGTGGACTTCAAACCCCCCAGGTGCTTCTCAGAAACCCTACATGGGGTCACTATGAATTAGAACAGTCTTGACGGCATTTAACAACAACAACAATGCATTATAGGGAGTCCTGGTGTGGCACTGTAGGATAAGCAGTGGACTGCTAGCCAAAAGATTTGTATCTCAAATCCACTAGCTGCTCCTTAGAAACTCTGTACAGGGTGGGTATGAGCTGGAACGGACTCAACGGCATTCAACAACAACAACTTTCCTAATAAATTCCTAACTATGAGTATGGTGTCAGGGTTCTGTATGGCATTGTAATGAATTATTGAGCACAGACGAGAATTAAAGAGGTGTGGTGACAGATGATTTGGTGCTACATTTGTTGCAAAGTCATAGAGAGGACATGATTTTATATTAACAACTATTGCACAGGGTCATGGACTGAATTGTGTCCTCCCCGTTACCCCTTCCAAATATGTGTCAACTTGGCTACGGCATGAGTCTCAGAGGTGTGGTAGTTATGAAATGATGTAAGTACTCTGCCCACCACCATGACATGATCTGCATTTTTTTTTCCAGATCGGCCCTGATCTGATGTAATTATTATTTATATATGTTGTAAATTCTCACTTCTATAATGTTAATGGGCTGGATGCAAGCTACAGGAATTGGATTGAATCAATTTCTTGAGATTTAAAAGCAAGTCGAGTTCAGAGGGACATACTACCACCAAGAAAGAAAAACTGAGTGGAGTGTGTCGTTTGGACTTGGGATTCCTGCATTGTGAAGCTCCTAGATCCAGAGGAAGATTGGCTGAGAGGAGGCAAGGGCCTTTCGCCAGAGTCTACAAAAAGAGAATGCTTTCCCCTAGAAAGGGCACTCTGAATTTGGACTTCCAGTGTGCTTAAAACCTGAGAGACTACATTTCGGTTTGTTAAAGCCATCCACCTGTGTTGCTTCTGGTATAGAAGCACTCAAGAATTAAGGCGTACAATTTTTAGTTAAAAAGTCTTGAAAGTGACAAGCATGACTTCTACCAATGTATTTGAGATCTGTGTGCAATTTAGAAACAGGTGTCCCAAGGATGCACGGCTTGGAGCTTGAGGCACGGGTTGGTTTTTAGGCCCTTTTGGCAACCAGAGACGATCCCAAAGAAGTCAACATTAGCGTGGCCATGTCAAGTTGAGACCTCCTCATGGCAACCCCATGAGTATCAGAGCAGAACTGTGCCCAAGGAGGTTTGCAGTGGCAGATTTTTCAGAAGTAAATGGTTTGAACTGTCTTCCAAGGTCCCTTTGTGTAGATTCTAGCCTCCAGTTTTTTGGTCAGCAGGTAAGCACTACCCAGGATCTCTTCTGATTTTGTTGTTGTTCTAATGCTGTCGAGTTGGTTACGAGTTGTATAGACCCCAGTGTAGGGTTTCCAACGAGTGACTGGTGGGTTTTAATGCTGATCTTACAGCTTATCCTACAGCATCACACCAGATTTTATTAAAACTCTTCTAAAAGTCATAGAGTAATGAGCCCTGGATCCTCCAACTAACTGTTCAGAAAGAGAAACTCAGACTGACTCCCTCCAGTGTTGAGTAGTCAGAACTGGAATGGTCCAATGACATTGTAACAAACCTCACATCACAAGTGATACAAATGAGACCCAGAGAGACAGCTTGACTCCTTCCAGGCCACACAGCTAGTTGGGAGAGCGAAGACCAGAACCAAATGTCTGTTCTTTGCTCAGGGTCCTGTCCAAGGGTCCCTGGTTAAGGGAGCTTGTGGTGGTACCACCTATTCTCACTGTTGGAAGGTTCCCCAGCCTCCCTGAGTTCTCACCATCCAGGGTAGGTACCACCTAACCTAGCATTTTAGATCTTCCTGAACACGCCCCATGGTCCCTCTGGCTCACCCCCCTGATGCACCCTTTGGGCTCTGTGCCCTGTCCCCTGGCACACTCACCTGTGCGGGCTCGCACCAGCACATCCAGGACATAGAGGACATCTGCCGCATAGTCCAGGACCAGCCACAGCATCAAATGCTCCGATTGAAGCTCATCAAAACAGGCCCTAAGCCAAATGTGAGAAGGATCACTGTGTCTGGAGTAGGGACCAACCTTTGGATTAGGTCAGTGCTACAAACACTATCATTTTTTCCTGGGAACTGCCTTTCCACAGTGTTACCAGCTCAGCGAGATGACCACAGGCTCTGAGGAGGAGCTTTTCTTTTTCTATGTCACAGAGCTCTTAACAAGAAGACCTAGGATTGGCCAAGAAGGGCAGGCCCTGTTGCCACTCAGCAGGAAGGCACAGAACTCTAGCCCTCACATGTGGAGTCAGGGAATAGGACTGAATTTCAGGAGTTAAATTCCAACAGAAATATGAGAATTTCTGAGATGGTACACTGAGTAGACTTCTACAGTTTTCTGCTCTCTCTTTCTCAGACAGTTGATATTGGTTTTCCCAAACCTCTCCCTTAGCCTCCAGATAAGCATCAGCTTATCCCCATGTCCCTATCCTGCAACTTGCTCAGGAATATTCCAAAGTCCCTGCCTACCCTTAGAAGAACAGAAGCTCATCCGTGCACTCCTGTCCTGCAGGTTTGCTAGGAAGGGATCCAGGGATTCCACCCCTGCCTCAGCCCCACTTACCTTCAGAAGTGTTGTTGTTAAGTGCTGTCGAGTCAAGTTATGACTGACTCATAGCGACCCTATATAGGGTTTCCAAGGAGTGGATGGTGAGTTTGAACCACGGGCCTTGCAATTCAAACCGATCTTTCAGTCCAGTGTTTACCATGCAGCATAGGAGATGGCATTTCCTATTCTGCTTGCTTTTGCTGAGAATCCAAACCCTCTTCCCCTACATTCAGAGAGCAGCAGGTTTCCTCTGCATCCCATTGCTTACCTGCACAGCGCCTAGCAGCAGCTTGGCCCTGCCACCCTGTCCTTCAAGGTTGCTCAGGACCACTGCAAAAGCTGCTGGTTACTTTCAGAAGAGAGGCACCCAACCCTGCATTCCCATCTTGCATGCCACCACAGGAAAGTCCCAGAAACACCACTGACTCACCCCTCTCTCCCTGCATCTGGGTCCCATATCATGCGCAGGGCAGTCCTGAAGCCCTGTGTGCTCTCAGAAGTGCCAACGCATCCTGAAGACTTGCTTAGGAATGGCCCCAAACCTCCCACCGTCCCTGTTCTGCAGGCATGCTAGGAATTGTCCCAAGCCCCTTTTTGATCCGCAGAGAGCAGAAGCTCATCCCTTCATCCCCAAGTGGTAGCCTGCTTGAAAACCAGTTGTCCTGGAGTCAATTTTGATTCCTGGTGACCCCAGGTATGTCAGAGCAGAACTGTACTCCATAGGTTTTTTTTCAGAAGTAGATTATCAGGCCTTTCTTCCTGGGTGCCTCTGGTTGAACTCAAACCTCCAATCTTTCCAAGCAGTGTAAAACATTTGCAGCACCCAGGGACTTCACACCTTGCTTAGGAAAACCCCATGCCCGCTGCTTGTGTTTAGGAGAGTAGTAGCTTGCTGTTGAGTCCCCGTCCTTCACACCTGTCTAGAAATCCTCCAAAGTCCCTGCCTAGCTTCAGAAAAGCAGCATCCCAGTCTGGCAAGCTAACTGGAGAATGCACCAACCACCTCCCA